CTCCCTCCCTCCCTCCCTCCCCCCCCTGCTGTTGGTGGAGGTCTACAGAAACATGGCTGACAGCAGAGCTGCGGGCCTGAAGGCCAATCAGGAGAAGCTGACCTGCTGAGTGTAGCTTAGCTTCCGGGACAGATCCTCCTCAGTCTCCTTCAGCTTCACGTCTAAGGCCAGCTTCTCTGCCTGAAACAGTGAAGATCATCAGTGGCACGTCATTCATTCATCTATTCATTCATTCATCCATCCATCCATTCATTTGTTCATCCATCCGTTCATTATCAAAGGATGGTCTATGCGGGTCCATTCTAAGCTAGAGAAGCCAGCTCCTCCGGGTGGAGGATTCAGAGGAGACCTGGACCCGTCAGTCTGCAGGACCTGGAGGTTTGGACCATTTTCCTGTAACTGACTCTGCAGACGGCTTCTTCTCTCCTGCTGCTGCATCTCCTTCCTGTCTGTCCGGGTCGGTTTGGGTCAGAGGGCCTCGACTGTCCGCTGCAGCTCTAATATTTACAGACCCCCCCCCCCCCCCCATCAAACCCATAATGGCGCCCGCCTTCGTCAGCATGACAAAGGAGAATAAACCAACCTTCAGAGAGGACAGGCGTGCAGCCAGGTAGTCCTTGACTTCTCTGTCTGAGCCTTGGAGGAGCCTCAGCGACAGGTGGTTCAGGTGCTTGAAAGCGTTCATCTCCACCACGCTGAAGGTGGCGCTGCTGTCCGCCATGACAGGCTGGCAGGTCAGCTGCAGGAGGAACCTGAGAACAAACACCAAGCATGAAGAGATCCATCCTCCTCACAGAGCAGGACACACGGCGCTGCTGCTGCTGTAAACATCTCTTTATTGCTCAGTTATTCTCCAGTTTTAAATGAAAACAGCATTTTATTTATTTACTCTAAACTATTCTGGTATTTTATAAGCTCCATATTTGTGTGACTATTTTTACTGTAATTCTGCTGAAACACCAACGTTTCCCCATCGTGGGAAAATAAAGGTTTTATTCTATTCCAGAGACGCACCAGCAACCCTTCCCACAGTCAGCCTCAGGGCAGCTGCCAGAGCACCTGAGAGCGCCGCCTGGTTGTCATGGATACCCTGCTGCGGGACTACAGGGCTGGTTGCTTCCTGGTTGCTCCGTAAACGAGGCAGGTTGGTCATAAACCATCTAATTAGCTGAGATGCTTTTACTGCATTGATTTCCTGCAGGAACCGTCTCCTCTTCCTACCTGGGGTTGTCGGCGTCTGGCTCGGCGTTGCACAGGTTCAGCAGGTCTATGAACTTCTGAGGAAATGATGCGAAGTCGATGAGCAGGCCCTGCTGCACCTTCAGGCTGCTCAGACAAACAGAGGGAGGCAGGCGTTCAGCTCTGAGGACAGACGGACGGATATCCAGTCATCAGCTCCTACCTTTGATAATCCTCCTCTGATACGGGCAGGGTGAAGAGGAAGAAGGGGTCGGCGTCGTCCGTCAGCTTCACTAGAAGGTCCTGACAGGGAGAGAGCAACACGGCCATGAAGTCCTGCTCAGCTAGCAGCTGCTGCGGCGAACAGCTGACTCACCCTGCGGTGGACCGGGGTCGTGGTCAGCTCTACGGTGACTCGGACATTCGCTTTTCTGTAAAACAATCCAAGGTTAGCCCGGCGCTCTGCGTCTATCCGCCTGACCTGATAGACGGGCGCCAATATGGCGGAAATGAGCTGATTCTATCAGACGTCTGAGAGAAAAACGGAGTTTTGATTCCATCCTCAGAACATTGAAGCTGAAACAGAAACTTTCACTTTAACTTAATGACTTTATTGATTGATTGAATTTATTGATTGAATTTATTGATTGATTGACTTTATTGATTGATTGAATTTATTGATTGATTGATTGATTTTATTGATTGATTGATTGAATTTATTGATTGATTGACTTTATTGATCTCACATGGAGAGATGAACTCGTTCCATCAGCTCAAATAGTCGAAGGAGAAGAGGTGCATGATGGGATATAAACAGTATATAGAGTTTATCCACATATGGCAGCCATTGTTTTTATAGCAGGATTATTCTACAGGTTTGTTGCACAGGATGTTTATCTGGGTATTAATAGAGAAACAGGTTATTTCAAAGTGTATTAATATTAATTAAAGCTTTAAACCTGTTTTCCTTCATAGGATTCTAACTTTATTTGAACTAACAGTGGAGGACAGAGGGCAGCTGAGGGTTTCCATAGAAACGCTGTCAGGCCTGCAGACCTCATCGTCTCATCGTCTGACCTGCAAACTTGGACCATGAAGGGTTAAAGCTGCGGCTAGCGCCATCATTGGAGCATCGCTTCCCTCCTGCATGGCTGACAGGCTACAGCCTTTAGCTCCCATAAAGGAATGGTAGAAAGGAACATTTCCATCATCATCACCATCACCACCATCATCATCACCATCATCATCATCATCATCATCAGAGCTAATGACTGATAGAAGCTCAACCAGCTGATGAAGAGGCCGGCTCTGAACCTCTGCAGATGAAGATGATGGACGCTCATCCTCTTCATCAGACTGTTAGACACCAACAGAGGGTCTTCAGTCAGAGGCTGATCCAGATCCGCTGCAGACAGACCTCTACAGGAGATGCTTCCTGCCTGCAGCATCAACACCTGGATGATCAATAATCTCAGAGTTTCTCTCTGGATTAATTCAGTTTAAACATGAGATCATGGCTTCATTCAGCATCTTATTAAAACCATCAGTAGAAACAATAAAGACTCTTTAACATTTATTTATTCTAATTACTCCTTTTTTCTTACAGTAAACGTTGATTTGTTGCAGATAGCAAACTTTGCAGCCTTTAGGGGAAAATGACGATGATGATGATGGATTTATTTATTAGTGCACTTTTCACCAGCAGCCGGTTTCAGAAGCAGGTTCAGTGAAAACTCATTTTTCTAAGCGGATCATTTTATTTTTATTTAGTTATTTTTACAGCATGTGGAGAACTACTGACATTATTTTGAGATTAAACATAAATAAATACAGGTGCTGGTCATAAAATTAGAATATCATGAAAAAGTAGATTGATTTCAGTAATTCCATTTAAAAAGTGAAACTTGTATATTATATTCATACATTACATACAAACTCATATATTTCAGATGTTTATTTTGTTTAATTTTGATGATTACAAATGACAACAAATGAAAATCTCAAATTCATCATATCAGAAAATTAGAATATTACTGAAGACAAATAAAAACAAAGGATTTATAGAAATGTTGGCCAACTGAAAAGTATGAACATGAAAAGTATGAGCATGTACAGCACTCAGTATTTAGTTGGGCCTCCTTTGGCCTGTATTACTGCAGCAATGCGGCGTGGCATGGAGTCGATCAGTCTGTGGCACTGCTCAGGTGTTATGATAGCCCAGGTTGCTCTAATAGTGGCTTTTAGCTCTTCTGAATTGTTGGGTCTGGTGTATTGCATCTTCTTCTTCACAATACCCCATAGATTTTCTATGGGGTTAAGGTCAGGAGAGTTTGCTGGCCAATTAAGAACAGGGATACCATGGTCCTTCAACCAGGTACTGGTAGCTTTGGCACTGTGTGCAGGTGCCAAGTCCTGTTGGAAAATGAAATCTGCATCTCCAAAAAGTTGGTCAGCTGCAGGAAGCATGAAGTGCTCTAAAACTTCCTGGTATGTGGCTGCGTTGACCCTGGACCTCAGAAAACACAATGGACCAACACCAGCAGATGACATGGCACCCCAAACCATCACTGACTGTGGAAACTTTACACTGGACTTCAAGCAACGTGGATGAAGTGCCTCTCTTCTTTTCCTCCAGACTCTGGGACCTTGATTTCCAAAGGAAATGCAAAATTTACTTTCATCAGAGAACATGACTTTGGACCACTCACCAGCAGTCCAGTCCTGTTTCTCTTTAGCCCAGGCAAGACGCTTCTGACGCTGTCTGTGGTTCAAGAGTGGCTTGACACAAGGAATGCGACAGCAGAAACCCATGTCTTTCATACGTCTGTGTGTGGTGGTTCTTGAAGCACTCACTCCAGCTGCAGTCCACTCTTTGTGAATCTCCCCCACATTTTTGAATGGGTTTTGTTTCACAATCCTCTCCAGGGTGCGGTTATCTCTCTTGCTTGTACACTTTTTTCGACCACATCTTTTCCTTCCCTTCGCCTCTCTATTAATGTGCTTGGACACTGAGCTCTGTGAACAGCCAGCCTCTTTAGCGATGACCTTTTGTGTCTTGCCCTCCTTGTGCAAGGTGTCGATGGTCGTCTTTTGGACAACTGTCAAGTCAGCAGTCTTCCCCATGATTGTGTAGCCTATAGAACTAGACTGAAAGACCATTTAAAGGCTTTTGCAGGTGGTTTGAGTTAATTAGCTGATTAGAGTGTGACACCAGGGGCCATCAATTTTGAACCTTTTCACAATATTCTAATTTTCTGATATGATGAATTTGAGATTTTCATTTGTTGTCATTTGTAATCATCAAAATTAAACAAAATAAACATCTGAAATATATGAGTTTGTATGTAATGTATGAATATAATATACAAGTTTCACTTTTTAAATGGAATTACTGAAATCAATCTACTTTTTCATGATATTCTAATTTTATGACCAGCACCTGTATTTACTGTGTGAAAGAATCAACATGAGGAGGAAGCCGTGAGATGATGGACAGCTTCTATAGATTAGAACAACGTTTCTAGACTTCACCCGCTGACTGATGATTTCACCTAAATAGATCCATTGATCCACGACCATCCCAGAAATAAATGAGCAACGTTACCGCGGTTACCACAGCTACGGCAAGCCGTTTGATATGTAATAGTTTACTGAATATTTATTTCTGATATCTGAAAAACATTTTTCTTTGTCTAAATGATCATTTCAAACAAAAACAGATTCTTCACATCTAGATAAACATTCTGGATGTCTAGAAATTCATTATAGATCTCCATCTTCCTAATGTTACTGGTCAGAATTTGTATTATTTGAACTATGAAGAAATGTTTTTCAGATTTCATCAATAAAATATTCAGTCAATCTAATAAATGTCAGACGACCGCTGAAAATGTGGAAACATTTCTAGAAATATAAACTTTGTTCTATTTAGAATAATTTAGTGTTTTCTTCCTGAAATTCAGTTGTAGAATTCCACCAATAGAAGTCAGAGCGGATCTACTTAAAGCTTCAGGCGCCATCGATTCAGGCTTAGAGTCCGGCTTTATTAAACCTGCTTACTGGATTAAACCCGGCAGACTGTGACGGTTATGAAAGGTTTGTGAATAGATCCGTAATCTGCCCTCAGGATTAGACGGCGTGGGTCTGTGGCTCATCATGATGACTGTGGTCAGATTAACAGATTTAGATTTTATTCAATAATACAAACAACGGCTGGGAGGGAACTTCCTGCACGCCAGCTGACGTACATCTGTGCTAAACACATAGATCTTTGTTTCTAGATGTTCACATCTCTTAAAACACAATAACAGTTTATTTACAGCAGAGATTATCAGCAGCTGTTAATCCAGCTGTTAATCCAGCAGATGGAGCCAAAACTGACCCATACTTTTATATCATATCAGTTGATATGATGAAAATTAAAGCCCCAATAAGAGCGGCCAAAACTAACGCCTGCATAAAATGATCATTATTTTTATCATAGAGGATAATGTTACTGAAATATTAATATATCAACATTATTTCATAGGATTAAACCACAATATTTCCAGCCTCATTATATCCTGATTTATTTATAACAGTTTTATTATTAACAGTTTTATTTATATTGTGTGACCTGCTTTTTACTCTTTGTCATGTTTATTAATCAAAGTTAGTTTTTTTTATTAGGGATCCATTAACAGTTTGTCTTTATTTAGAATTAATCTCCTAATAAGATCAATTTACCGCCATGTTGGGATTTATTTATCATTTATAAAGTTACCAGAAACTACTTCATTTGACTTTTTATAAGATAATTAAAAAATGATTGTTTAACCTGTCTGGAAGTAAACCAGGATTCCGGTTACAAAGACTCACTTAAGGCCTTATTGACATTTCATCTTAAAAAACAGTTATTGAAGTTATTTGAATATGGAAGTCCTGTTGTCCGACAACACCTGAATGCAGCACCGAGCTGCGGCGGGGAGCCTGCGGGAATCTGCTCCCGGAGCCCCGCAGCTCTGCGGGGGAAGCTCACCTCTCCTCGCAGTCCTTGTGCTTCAGGTGAACCAGCAAGACTTTGTTAAAAAGTTCCTCCATGGCGGACAGAGGAGGCTACAGCAGCGGCTAGCTTAGCGGCTAGCTTAGCGGCAGCCGCGGCGCCAAATCATTTAACTTCTTCTTCTTCGCTTCCGCCTCCTCATTCTTCTTCTTCTTCTTCTGTTTATTGACTGGTGTTCATTACCGCCACTAGCTGGTGGCCTAAAAAATCTTTCTATTGAACTTTTCATTAAACTGGTTTTCAAAGATCATAATAATTGATTTGCTTCCTGAATTCATTTTTAATTTATGGATTAAAGTTTTCTTTATTTTTCTCCTCATTAAACCTCTTTCTGTTCCAGATGTTTGTTCTGTTTTGTCATTTTAGCCACACTGGTTCCTGGATTATATTTGACTATTTTAAAAAGTTTTTCTTTCTGTGACCAAATCTTGATAATTTTAAACCATCTTTCTTTATTTCATCTTTTCAACTTTATATTTTCTTTAGTTTTAGTTTGAAAACACTTTTAATCTCTGATATCCACTTCCCAGCCTCCCTCTCTGCGTTTCCATGGAAACGCTGTTGTTAATCTCATTGTTGTCTGATATCTGATGTTTTAGTCCGATCCAGATGGAGTTTAGATCTAAGTGTTGTATTTCTACTGTCCTCCTCTTGATGGCGGCTCGTTTTCCAGCCTCTCCTGCTTGTTTCAAACTAATCAGTCCTGTTTTTTCCTTTGTTCAAATAATCTGATCCACAGTCTCTGCTAAACACCTCCTTAGATTTAGGACTTTTTGAAACATTTTTATAGGTTCAGTTTCAGCTTTTATTGTCATTTTCTACATATGCACAAAACATACAAGGGAAATGGAATTATGTTTCCTCTCTATACCATGCCAGGACAAGACATATGCAAGACTGACATTTTACAGACTGACATAAATTGCGGGACATGACAGGTAACAATAAGTGATCAATAATAAATACAGAACAAAGAACATGTGACATTTAACATTAACATTAACATTCAATATTTAACATTGAACATGTAAAAGAAGATAAGATAAATATAGAGTGTGTGTGAGAGAGAGAGAGAGAGAGAGAGAGAGAGAGA